TGCTATAAAGAGCATATTGATACTATTGATAAAACTTTAATAGTGTCTGAGGTAGAAATTGATTAGTGTTAACTTTCTGATTTTGGTAGTTGTAGTGTGGTTATATAGAAGGAAATCCTTACTTGTAGAAAATATACACTAAAGTATTAGAGGATTGTGGGGCATTGAATCAGCAATTTACCATCAAATATCTCAGAAGAAAAAAGGTTTTGTTCCATACAACTGTATTCTTATACAGAAAAAAAAAAAAAAAAAAAAAGGAAAGTTTCTTTAATGTATGGGACCAAAACTATTGGATTCAGGGTACTGTTCACCTCAGGGAAGAAAAGAAGATAAAAGCGGAAATTAGAAGAATTACAAAAGGGAGTTCAAGTATACCTGTGGTTGTATTTTTAATATTATGTTCTACATTTTTTGTATGCCTGAAATACTGTATAATTAAAAAAAACACTGCGGGACAAAATTAGATTCCACTCTATGTTATACACGGAAAATTGTTTCAAAGTCAAATATGAATGTCTTTGGTATTATCCAAACCAGGTTTCCCACACTGAAAAGCCAATATATGTATTAGACAGTAGGTCACCTAAGTTCTTACTACCAGGACATACTTCAAACATATGCTTAAGAGATGATGATGGCATTTTATAAATGTGCTTTCTCCTACATTACAAAAAAGCCCGATAAACATCTTCCCAGTAAAAAAATAGAACATCACTATTCATACTTAAGTACTTTGTGCAATTTTATCAAGTCATTTTTTCTACAGTTATAACAATTCTAGACAGGAAGTCCAGAATTAAAATGATTTTTGTCAGAATGATTTTGATATCACTGGCACTCATTTAATGCCTGTTAATGATAGCATCCTGATAGATGAGCTTTCTTGCACAGCTTTCATTCTCTCAACTGATAGTGAAAATAAGAAAAGGTAGAATGCATGAAAAAAGCTATCTTCCTTTCGTTATTTTAATATTTTTGTGTTATTGGGCTGACTAGCAATTAAAGCTAATCTCCATCTAGGTATAGTGTCTAAGGTGAAGAGAAATATAGTATCCTAGAAATCTAAGTTAGGAAGCTGCACTTAACAGACATTTGTTTGGTATGATAAACCAATGGATGATACTGCATGGATTTAATCCAATGGGAAGACAGATATCTGAAAAACGAAAAGTAAAAAAAGAATGTATTTCACAATGGACTCATACACAAGCAGTTCTGAGAAGCAGATTTAAGGGATCCGTAACTCAGAGAGCACATGCGAAGATAACTAGAGTCATGCTTGAACTAAGACTTAAAGTATGTATAAGGCCAGGTGCGGTGGCTCACATCTATAATCCCAGCACTTTGGGAGGCCAAGGCGAGTGGATCACGTGAGGTCAGGAGTTCGAGACCAGCCTGGCCAACATGGTGAAACCCCATCTCGACCAAAAATACAAAAATTAGCTGGCATGGTGGTGTGTGCCTGTAGTCCCCGCTACTCAGGAGGCTGAAGCAGGGATTGCTTGAACCCAGGCGGCAGAGGATGCAGTAAGCCAAGATTGTGCCACTGCACTCCAGCCTGGGTGACACAGCAAGACTCCATCTCAAAAAAAAAAAAAATACAAAAATGAAGTATAAGAATTCTCTAACAGAGGCAGAAAGGGAGATAAATGGCAGAGAACACTGCAATATCCTAGATAAGAGGACATGAAAGCTTGAACTAAAGCAGGGGGGAAATAAAATTAAGAGCTAAAGAGGATAGAGAAGTAAATGGATATGACCGATGCCTTAATGAGATCAAGTATGACTCCCAAGTATGACTTCAGTGGGGACTTTTGAGATAGGAAATTAAGAGTGAAGCAGAAATTTTGGTGAGTGGGTGGGTGGGTGTGTCGGGGGGGTGTATTTAATATGATGAGTTCACTTTCTGATGTGCTGAGGTTCAGCATCTTTTAGAAAGCTGGATTATAACTGCTCTTCTGTAGAAGACATACCAAGGTGTCACAATATAAAAGATATTCTACAACATGAAAGGGCTCCAGTCCCCCAAAAGGAGTGCGCAGAAAACTCAAGTGTATAAAGATAAGACTGAGAGGCAGAGGCAACACCCAGAGGAAGTAAAAGAACATATAGAAGAGGGGATATGGAGAGTAAACTGGAAAAAACTGGCCAGAGAGAAGGAAAATTAGGAAAAGTAAAGTAAACAAGTGTGTGCCACAGTGACACACACTTCTTTCACATGGTGTGTGACTGCCACAGAACCAGTCAAGCCGACCAGGATTTCTCACTTACAGAACTATAATAAATCTGTGTTGCTTTAAACAAAAAGTCCATGGTAATTTGTTACAGCAGCAACAGGAAACTAATACAACACTCTAGGGTACCAATAGATACCTTAGGCCAGCAAGTGCTCATTCCTTCCCTCCCCCTACCCCAATCTAATCTTAGAAGAGACAGATTCAGCCCAGAGAATAGGGAAGAATGGAAAAGCAAGATGGAGAAACAGAAGAGGCCAACCACATCCCCAATAATTGCCCCTACCGGAGACTAGAAATGGAACAAACTTGAACAGGAGAAAAGGAGCAGCTTTCTTTGGGTGAAAATTAATTTATATTAAGCTAGGATTTTTATTATCTGAAACCAACAGGAAATATCTGGAACCCACCTGGGACTTTTAACCAGGGTCAGAAGAAAAATAAGCTGAGAGGGCTGATTTAAAGGTTGTTCAACAGCTGGAATAAACTAGCCACTTCCAACTTATACCGATTATGTTCACCTCGTTCAAAAAAAACTACTTACAAGTATCTAAGAGTTCTGGAGTAATCACTGAAATTGACTTTAGACAAGTAAGTTATAAATGCAGTGACGAACACAACTATTTCACATATCTAATGGTCATACAGAAACCAATATGGGCTTTGAGCTAGAATTTCAGCTTTCACCTAAAGACAAACAGGGGAAAAAGCCTTTAGGTATAACTAAAAATTCAACACCACTTTTAAGAATGCACACGGAAACTAAACTATTACCCAGAGATGAAGTAAATCAATTTCCCAAGTGAAATGAATACAAATGTTGAAGTTATTACACTGTACTTCACATTCATTAAATAATCAAGTCAGCACAGTCTTTCAAAGGACTGTCTTGAGGAGGGAAAAGAGGTGTTCTTCAAAACAAAGTTGTTACTTCATGTAAAAATTACTAAATACCTTTGATAATGATAAATAAGAACAATCATTTTAAAAATTGCACAATGCCAAAGCAAAGAACCTAGATGCAAACTTTAAATGGTATAAAGCCTCTGTAGGTACAAATGTCAAAAGGTTACCATGTCTGATTATTCAATGTTGCTTTCTCAAGAGAATTCTTACTAATAAAAATGTAACAGATATGTATAAGCCACAAATCAAGTCAGTTTAAATCTAGCATTCTCCAGACATAGAAATAGCTCTAAATTTGTCAAAAATATGGTATGCTGAGAAGTTTGAAAAATATCCTAATCCACATTTAAAGAAGGCAAAAATACCCTTCAAAAGCCTTTCAGCTTCAGAATCAACAGCAAGTTTTCCCTGCAGAGTATTGTAATATACTGAAGGAATCAGTAAGGGAAAGAAAGAATCTGTTCCTTATTTTTTAAAAAGGCCTTCGTTGTAACTATCTTGTCCCTTAGCAAACTGGACAGCCCTGAGAAGGCAACAATTTCATTTTATTTCTGCTGAGTTACTCCAGTGAGGATTTGATCACCGAAATCTAATGCCAATAGGTAGACCTGCTTAAGGATGAAAAAGTGATGTGGCCCAGTTATTTTAAAAAGTATTCTGTAAATATTTCAAAAATGCTGATATTCATCTGACCTCTAAATAATATTAAAACTTATAGTATTAGCCCCCTCCCAGCTAAGAGTAACAGAAAACTAGCATAAACTATATTCGGTACTTCCTACGTAGTTGTACTTTTAACTTCTGGAAATAAAATGTGGCTTCCATAAATATTTAACATCAATGGGCTACTTAGTCCACTTACTCAGATGGCAGCAACAATTATGATGAAATTTTTTAACCTAGTAGCCACAAGTGAACCATAAAAGTGCCATCCTGGAATCTCATGGATGGATAACTTACGTGAGTGGTTCGATATATAGCACGTGGATGGGAGAAAACAGCACTTGACGATCTTGAGTCCTCAAAGATAGTACTGAAGAGAGTTATCTTCATATAAGCCTCATTAACAGAGACAAAGGCTAACCAGAAAAAGGTTAGGCACCCAGAAAAAGACTTAAAGGTGAGTTCAAGTCTCTACAGACATAAATGTTGCATAAAGAACCTGGTTATCCTAAAAACTAAGGAAAGAATAGAACAAGTCAGGTCTAAGATCCAGCCCATAACAAAGAAAACAGTAGAGCACAGTGACTATCATTTTAACATGGACTGGACTCAGACCACTTAGGTCAGGGATCCCCAACCCCATTAGGAACTGGGCCACACAGCAGGAGGTGAGCAGCAGGCCAGCCAGCATTACCGGCTGAGCTCCGCCTCCTGTCAAATCAGCAGTGGCATTAGATTCTCATAGGAACACAGACTCCATGGTGAATTGTGCATGCTCCTTATGAGAATCTAACTAATGCCTGATGATGTGAGGTGGAACAGTTTCATCCCAAAATCATCTCCACCACCCCCGAAACGCTCATGGAAAAATTGTCTTCCATAAAATCAGTCCCTGGTGCCAAAAAGGATGGGGACCGCTGACTTAGATAATCTACTCAAGACAAAAATATACCATTCGATACTTTGGAGTATTTGTTTTTACATACTCTCTGCGAAACCAAAACCTGGTAGGTTGTTTTTCTTCAGATTTCGTATTTTTGTAATCTAAAAACTCTTTGTGGCCAAAGTGCTATCTTAAGTGACATCAGAAATTAGCCCATGGAATATGACTACCAAAAATGCTTAGAGTTCCATTAACATGAGCAAAAGCTAAGGCTTTTTCCTCAAACATTTCCTAAAGAATCAAATTCTTACCATCATTTTTTCAAAAAGTTCTAAGAGTTCACTCTCTGACAATGGCTTTGGAAAGTTCTCCATCATCTCTAAAGGTGCCGCTGAGCAATCACTGCTTGCAAATGTCATCTTCAGGTTGGGAAGTGGAGGTCTCTCTTTCTTGCTCCCTGGAATTCTTAGGCTGGCAAATTTGTCCAGCTACAAAGAAAGACAGAATGACACACGTTAAGTATTTCCTTTCCCAACATTTATCTCATCTCAAAAATGAGAAAAACAAAGAGGGCCAATCACGTTATCATTGTGATTTCATCAGGAGGCATTCAGCATTGGAATATTTAAAATTAAAAATAATAATAAAGAGTGGTGAAAATTTTTCAGTAACCGTCCTATCTAAAGATTGAAGAGAGCTCAGACAACATTGAAAGAGTCCTTCTAATCTTAAAACCTCACATAGATTTGAGATTCTAATGACAGGTGACCTTTGCTTTATATATTAGTAAATTAAGCAGTTTAGAAAGAAGATTACTTAATTTAGGGTTGGTCCCAAACTAGTACTCAGTGTCCCATCCCCCACCCCTTCCTGGCCCCTTTGCCTATTGCCCTTTCCATAATGCATACTGTCTCTTGGAGTGGGGGTGGGAGGGGAACATGATTTAGGAATTTTTAGGAATTGAATTATCTTCATAGTTTATTGGCCTGATAAACTATTTATCTTTGTTCAGGCTGGTCAGTATGTAAACTTCTTGAATATCTACACGGCAGAATGGTTAAGGCCTTAAGAAATAAGCTAGATTTTTGTTGCAATTAGATTTCTTCTATAACTAGATAATCAAATAGCTTGCTGACATTTCAAAAAAGCATAGATATTCGTTTACAAAGCTAATAATTCATTTATTCAAAATTGTTTGAATTTCACAAGTTCTACTGCTCACAAAGAACCCAGACTCATACATTTCATGAGTCATAAAATGTTTCAACAATCAAAAATGCAAAAAAGTCTTAAGCTGAACCAGGCATCAAGAATAGAAGTATACTCAAACAGCACAGTGATTCCATGAGTTTTCCATCATTGCTGTATACATTTTAAGCTACTGTTCTCACCACATATACTGTATATAAACCTGTACTATTCATTATGGTAACCACTAGCTATGTATGATTATTAAATTAAATTGAATGATATTAAAAATTCAGTTCCTTCATTGAACTAGCCTACATTTCAAGTGCTCAAGAGCCACATGTGGCTTGTGGCCAGCATACTAATGCATATAGAACATCTCCATCATTGCAAAAAGTTTTAATGGACAGAGCTAGTATAGCCATTAAAAACACCTGATACCTCAAAGTCTCAATTTAAAAGGACAATTAAGTCACAGTATTGTTTACTCAATTCACTAAAGAAATAGGATTTCTTCAAATAATGAGACATAAAGGTAAGTATTATCTTTCGAAACAGGTTTCTAAATTTACTGTGAAGATAATGTCTACGAAAAATACTATGTACTGCACTCACCCATGGTCCACCTAACATCACTGAAACATTAAAGTACTAAGAATACGACAGCTTCCTGTAGGATTTAGAAAGTTGTCTAAAAAACACCACTGCTCTCATTCTAATGACCAAAACAAACCAGAAAACATATAAAGTTATACTTGCTGCTGTTATCAACCCAACAGAAAATTGAGGACCCAAAGAAACTTACAAGGATCAAATACCAGAAAACAACAAGATGCTCTTATCCCTGACAAACAGTTGAGGAAGAAGAATAAGTTAAACAAGGGTAAAGAAAAGCCAGCCAAATTTTTAAGGAAATATTGATAGCTGCATGGGTGCTGGCATTAGAATTTCAAGGAGCCCCACATGAAGCCCAAGCCATTTGGCAAGTCTATACCCACCTACCAATTCTTTCCCCTAGTCTTCACCAACTGAATGGGGTAGTAAGCCAACGGTTCGGAGCAGAACAGGAAAGCTATATGAATACTCCATAAGGCATATGCAAACAGGTGCCCTCCAAAGGCCACAGACTAGGCAAAAGAATGGAGAGAAATCCCCATGACACATTCTGGACTTTCAAAGAGCATGTCATAATGCCATCTAAAGGCTGGGGCAAAGCCTGGTCAAAGAGATTTCCTGAAGAAATAGCCAGAAGTAGAACTGAAAACAAAAAGAGAACTCTACATTAACCCTAAAATTGGCAATTTTTTCCTGAAAGGATATAATGAAGAGTAGACATTACACATGAGATGAATAATTGCAGCAGCAAAGTCACAGAAACTATTTTTTTTTTAAAAAAGGATGAATTAGAAATAAAAAATAGATCAGAAATGAAGATTTTCTTAGATGAGCTTAACAGTCACCTGGAAAGCTGAGGAAGAATCAGTGAACCTAAACCCAGATTGATAGAAAGTTCCAAACTCAAACACAAACAAAATAATGAGATAGAAAAAAAAATGAGTATGATCTGTGATACAACATCAGATGTTATAACACAAGTGTAACTGGGGTCCAGAAGCAGAAGAGAGAGTGGAAATGGTACAGAAGAAATATTTCAGAAGATATAACTAAGAATTTTCCAAAATTGATTAAATATATATATATGTATAACTCAATTCACAGATCCAAGAAGCTCAGCAAAATCCAAAAAGAATACAAAAGACACACACACAGACACACACACACACACACACACACACACACACCCCTACATACCCCTAAGCACTTCGTGGTCAAACTGCTGAAAGTTAAAAATAAACAGCAAACCATAAAAGTACAGCCAGAGAAATAAAAATACATTATATACACAAGAAAAAAAATGATATGACAGCTAATTTCTCACCAGAAACAATGGTGGCAAAAGATAATGGAATGGCATCTTTAAAGTGCTGAAAGAAAGGTAGGGTTGACTCTTGAACAACACAGGGATTAGGGCAGTCAAAGTCCACATATAACTTTTGACTCCCCAGAAACTTAACTACTTATATGCTCCTGTTAACTGGAAACCTTGCCAATAACATAAACAGTCAATTAATACATTGTTGTATGTTAAATGTATTTACTGTATTCTTATAATAAGTTAGAGAAAACAGAATTTTAATAAAAAGAAAGAAAATACATTCACAATACTGTACTATATTTATCAATACTGTAAGTTTACATCATATGTTTACAAGATGAATTGTCTCCTGAAATGGTGACCAACGCAGCTACAGACCTCAATCCATACAATTCACGTATCGAGCAATTCACCTTTTTCTTGTAATGTTATGAGTTTTCTCTGATTCTTGGGAGCACTTCAAGCATCACTAGTGGCACTTTGTATGGGTCCCATGGTGTTACTCAGGGTTTACGGTATTGCCCTAAACATGATGAAAAATACTCAAGAACTGCAAGAGATCAGTTTTTACTGAAATACGCAATTTACTGGAGAGATTAACTGCTCAAGTGGAGGTGATTAGTGTCACATGACATTTTAAGTAGATACTCAACACACTTGAGCTCACCGGAATAGCAACCAGAGGTGACTACAACATTAACAGAGTAATATAGTGTGCGCTACAGTTAATTTCATAAAGTTATAGTTCAATACTGCATCTTTACATTTGTTCACATTTCTCTTGACTGCAAATGGCACCATCTTTAGTTCATGTTTGTGCGTGTAAGTTTTGATTAATTTTAACTTTTTTATAATAGATTTGTAAATGTTTTACGGTATTAAGTGAGAAAATAGACTACTATTTAAATATATTCAAGACATACAGAACTTTTTCTTTTTTCGATATTTCTAATCAGTTTGTCTGCAAGTTTTTTCAAATTATTGAAAATCTTGAAATATCTCCAATATATTTCTTTGAAAAAAAACCTGTGTGTAAGGGGAGCTGTGCAGTTCAAATCAATGCTGTTCCAGGATCAACTGTAGTGTTATCCTGGGATTCCATATACAGTGAAACTACTTTTCATAAGTAGAAACAAAAGAAACACACTTTCAGACAAAAACGGAGATAATCTGTCTCCAGCAGACCTGTACTACAAAAAGTGTAAAAGAAGTTTTTCAGGCTGTAGGGAAGTGATACATATATAACTTTTTCTTAACTTGTTCTGGGATGAAATCCCAGATCTACAAAAAGAAATGAAGAGCAATCAACAGTTGTCTATTAGACGTTGGTGATACAAAGATAAATAAGCCTTTATAAGACTTACCTTAAATAATTATCAAGTGGAGGAGACAAGCACATAAACAGGTAATTATATAGCTATACAGAAAATGTAGGAGTTACGTGAAATGTATTATAATAGCAAAAAAGAGTGGCATCTAACCCACCACCATAAGCATTTCCTACTCTGGAATAACTCAGAAAAATAAAACTGTCTCCGCATGAATATATGTCCAGAAGATACTATCCCTGTGTACATTTGTACCCTCATTATTGATGTTTTAAAAAAAAAAAACTGAGAGAAACCAAAAAAAACTGTTTTAGGAAATGGGACTGGTTACTTATCTCCCAAGTCACTACTTCATTGCCATCATTTCTGTGCAGATAATATCAATTCCTAAGCACAGAAACTATCCTGGCTCTTTACATACACACACCCCCCAAAAAAATCCAGTGTAGCTTAATTAATATGCCAAACTTATAATGAAGTGAAATTAAGCAAAACTTCATTAATGCAACATCAATATTATAAATGTAAACATGTCAATAAATGGGAATAATAAGCTTAAGCACTTCACAAGCTAATTTGAAAATGCATAACCTAATGGTTCTAACAGTGATAGAAGACATAAAATCTTAATTTTCACCAAAAACCAAAACTTTTTTTAAAAAGAATCCTTAAAAGTCATAAAAATTAACAAGATTTTTACTAATATTTACTGAGCCTTTTCTATATGAAGAGCACCAGGCTAAGAGCTTGAAATGCAGCATTAGGTTGAATACATTTGTTTAATCTTTACAGTAGATTATAATAAAAGAACAAGTTCCAAAACACTTTTGTACCTAACAATTTCATAGTATTGAGCGCAAAAATAGGACAAAGGAAAAAAATCAGCCCCTAATGTTTTCAAGAGTAAAGCTAATAAAACCATACTTGTACCAATAACATAATTTGTAAAGGTAATAATATTAATAATAAAATATAATTATCACACCTATCCCATAAGCTTAGCACCTAAAACTCTGGGGAAAAGATAAATTTTACC